GTGTTTAGTATTCAGAAACGTAGTGTTGAGATCGCGTGAAAAAAGGTAGATACCCTCTAATCTGATGGAATTCTTCGTGATGGGTTATTTCCTCTTTTAGGAGGAATTTTTCGTGCATTGTGTGAATCGTTTTATGCTAAAGATTGTACTATTATTCGAACACAATGGGAAAGAATAATCGAACGAAGAAGGGGAAGAACGCCAATAAAAGAAGAGTTTCGCAAGTTTTGATTCCATCGAAAGAGAATCCTCCATCAAGTCAACAGCAACCTCCTTCAAAAAGGATAGGGGATGGCGCTCAGCAGCGGAGTTCAAAACCGAATGAGTTTTGCGGTTGGGGTTCGCAATCGCGTCCTGATGATGTTTGTGGCTCCGGTATGATGATCGTAACATATTTCGCTGCATGTCGTTGAGACGGATGCGTATATTATTGTAATCACGGTTCTTTAGATGATTCGTCTGCGGTGGTGGCGAGAAGCAGATCAATTGACGCCGATGAGGCAGTACTGCAGAACTTCGAGGAAAGCATTTCCATGTACGCCAAAAAATGTTCCAAGCTCCAAACGCGCTTTCGCGAAGATATTGATTTTCTGAAACGCTTTTGCATGGAGGCAAGTCTGGCAACGGTGCGATCCGCAGATTTCTGTGAGTAAAAAATTGTCGCTAAAAAATTGATGCATGCGATTTACTCATTTTTCATTGGTTGGAATGACGTACCTCGCTTTCTTAATTTTACCGAACGGTCTCCCTCTGTTAACTACATAGTACTAGTACTGTATGTTTAATTCATATTGAACGACTGATGGATGCAAGCGCGACTATTGTGTCACTGTCGCGTAAGCATATACAGTATAGAGCAAACAGTGTGCACCGTGATGATACATAAATAGCCTAGGTGACTTGGTGCGCTGACGTGAAATTCTAGTCTCAGCGCACGATTTTAGTGTCAATTTCTATTCACTTCTTCGTGCAAATTCAGCGGACTTCCAGTTACATGTATTATTGTCCAATCGAACATCATTAAACCGCAAACTATGCTATAAAGCAAATTTTTCAAGAAAAGGAAATAGTGTCTCATGGGAAGACAAAAGAAAGAAAGGCAAGAGTTATCGGCAATTGTGTCACACATATACAGCTACGATGATGAGTCATCATCACTCGTGTTAGTGCATGATACAGATGAGGATCAATAAGGGAAAAACAGTATTCTCTGGAAGATTACCGACGTTTGACGAAGCTTTTTGTCTATCACTATTACACAAAGGTAGGGCATTTATATGAAGCCACATCAACAGATAAATCAGGTCTCATATATACGTACCACCATTTCTATATACGCTCCAGAAGTTGCTCGTCACCACTTGTTGAGCTACTGTATTACAGTCAAACTAAGTATTGTGCTGTACTTTCATTTGTTTTAATATGTTTATTGTATTCCATCAGTGACGGTAATGGGCTCAATGATGGAATCATGGAACGCGGCACTTGTGACAATTGACGAAACTATTTCTCAGGACGCTGAAGATGTGAAAGACTATCGTGAATCTATGAAAATAAGAAAACCGTCTTCCTCATCATCAGGGAAGGAGCTGACTAATGAGAAGACGGAAGCTGAAGTTCTCGAGCGGATTAAACTCCGCCACGATGCATTGGACAATGCTTTGAAAGATATCATGATATCTTTCAAACCGAGCGAGTTTTCCGCTATTCAGGAGAAGATAGTGCAAAAATGAAGTATTCGTCTCATTCGATCACGCTTGCTCGCGAATGCTTTCCTGCGAAATTCGTTCCTGTGTTTCGAAACGGAGACTCGTTTGAATCTTTTGAACGAAATTCTGCTTTCAAATGAAAAATTTGTGCTGAAGCATGGTTACTATTGGTCTACTGTGGCGTTTGTGTAACTTCCAAGCAGCAATTCTCCCCGATTGCTGATGATAAATTGAACCGAGCTGCAGCAATTGATTTTACGTCTTAACTTATGATTGTTGTAAGCCTCGAATCCCGTAAAGATAATCCTGGAGTAAACCTTCTGCATGGCGGTGAGTTTTAGATTAAGTTTACAGCAATTAACACAGATTATCGGCTTGAATAGGGAAAATGCAAGAGTTCCTAGCAGATTCGAAAATTATTCAATCTAGCTCAAAACAGAACAAGCAAATAGGATGCAAATCCTATCGTCGACTTCATACAAAAATAAGCAGCCAATGGTATATTCCATGACATGCATCTCAATTTTTCCGACTCAAAATGATAAAATTCTCGCTCGAAAATTGTAGATGCAGGTAAGCTGTTTGCTTCCCAATATACCAGGAAGTCCAATGAAGAAATACAGTAAATCGAATTTGTTTAATTTTCTTCAAATAAGAAAAAAGTTGACGTTCCTTGAGAAAAAGAAGCACTGTTATGCATGACTTAGAATTTCGAATAACAACCCGCCACAATTTCGCGATGAGGTCAAGTACGTACGATGCAATGCGTATTCGCGGTTATTCTTTTCCTGAACATCATGCTTCCCCTGCTTCGCTGACCTTTCTTTTCTGTCGCCTTGACTCTGCGAACCTTCGCGAGCTTCTCACAAATTTAGCCGAGGATTGACAAATTTCCTTGAGAATGGGATTCTGGTTAGTAATTTCAAAAATATATTCCGGAGAACTTGATCGTTCTCATCATTTGAAGTTTTCTTTCCTTCCTTCGCGCAGGTCGATCTTGAGAGCAGTTGTGCTTTGGGATCGTTGGCCTCTGCGGATTCAACGAAATGAATCACGGTGTGAACTTGAGCCGAGTTCGTTGTTCTCTAGTCCTTGGAATTTACGAAGGTTTGTTCTTCAGGAGAGATTTTTACTTAAAGCCATTTTTTATGTTGCTCTACTTCGCTCTTGTACTATTTTGCGGAGAGTAATAGTGAGCACTGATCAAATGTGCTTTTTATTCGAGCATTTTTGAATGATTGCATAATAAGACCTAAGTCACCTATTACGTTGGTACGGTTTATTGACCGCATTATGATTTTATTGCAGCTACGCGAGGAAATAATTACTGTACATGTAAGTTCTTTTTTGTGAGCAGCGAAGAATTTGAAGAATTCTTCAACTGTGCAACATGTACTGCCGATGCAAATACAAAGCTAAATGAAAATTTTCGGTAATTTACTTCAGAATTTTGGCGTTTCTTCAATTTGCAAGGGTAAAAAATCTGAATACCGTAGTAACATATAAACAGGAAAAAGAACTGAATTCACTCAACTGCTGAAGATGAAGCCAAAATCATTTGTCGACAGAAAGAAGCAGATTTTAGTATTTTAATGCAAACAATATTCAATAACAATTAATATTGCATACAAAGAACATCTATTAGGTTAAAATGATGCGTATTCCACTCCGTAGCTCATTCTCGTATTTTACTTTTAACCACCTTTTGTGAAGAAATTTTTTGGGTTCAATTTTTAACATGTCTTCTTCCTTAATTATTATCACTGCTGATTTCTGTGAAATTATTATCTCTTTAAAGCATTTTTACATAAAATTTAGATGCAGTCTAATCCGAGATGCACGCGTATAACCGCGAAATATTTGTGAAGCGAAGAGTTAATTTTTGAGTTAAATCTTTTGGGCCCCTTTAAATAAGATGGATTTTGATTAAACTTATTTTCAATTATAAGGACTTACTACGATTTTGCCCTCAGTGTAAAAAAAACATATACTGTACCTGCAATGAAAAGAAATTTCTCGCGAAGCTTCATTGCGTTCGCGAGTAGATTTAAATTTCGCTGTTCTGTATTCAATTAATTTTGAAGAGTGGGGAAAATACATTATGTCCGATAAACGATGGAGAGATAAGAAAATTACTTGCGTTCTCATTTTAGACACTTCAATTAAATATTATATCTCTGAAGCTATGAACTTCGGAACGCTCCTTTACTTTTCCCTGACGTGAAAATTATATTTTCAAGAATGGGTTTGCTTTCTTTATCACGTACCATGTTCGCACCTGAGCCTTAAAACTGTTTCTTTGACGATTCGGAAACATTTCAAAGACTGATTTTCGGTGATTTCCTAATGCAGTGTAACAGCTGGAATTTTTCTCAGATTTTTCGGCGGTGCTAATCGGCGGGTAACTAGAGCTGTGAAGCAAGAGTCCAATATTGCGGTACCGTCTGCTGTTCTTCATCGGCACAGCGTGGAGTCCAGCACGGCATCGCGGCGCCCCACTCATCACGACTTCGGGGCGTCCCACTTTGTGTTCGTGCTGCCCATCATCGTCATCCTCGTCTTCCCATTGACATTCATTCTCAATTACATCATCGCGGTCAGCTTGGGTCACGTGGTGTGGAACATTGCCTACATCAGCGACACTGGTTGTACACCTCCAGAGAGCTCCGTTTTCTCTTTCTTTTTATCGTTGGGTACGTGCGTAATTGAGAGGATCTGCTGTTGGGCTCGAGGGGTCGTCTAACAAATGTTTCCGGAAAAGAAATTGAAACTACATATTATTGAATTCCAAAACAATTATTGTTCAGAAAAACATTCTTCGGCACAGGATAAAATTCCGCCCTGTTTGAAATTTTTAATGATTTTTTGAAAGTCACCCTGGCAGCTTTCTGCTCTTCACTCAGAAGATGGGGCGCCATCTCACAGATTTTTGGGTGTACGCCAGCTTTCCCTTCAGAATTATTGAAATTAACGTGGCATTAATTTCAAGGGTTGCCGCCAATGATTGATAATTAATTCCGCCATTTTCGTTTACAGCTGCCTTCACAGCAGCCGCCACGTGGGATGAGATTTTGGCGGTTGTGATGGCGGCTGTCGATGAAAATGACGGCGTTGTCTTGGACGATGAAGGCATGCAGGCAATTCTATGAAATAATGCCATATATGTCGATTTCAAGAATTCTAAAGAAAAAGATGGGCAAAAAATAAACGGTGAGATGAGCGCCTCATCTTCTGAGTGAAGGGCTGAAATAAGCTTCCAAGGAGACTTCTGCGAAGAACTATAAAAAAATGTCGAACAGGACGTACTTTTTTTCTCGTGCGTACTTTTTTTCTTGTGCCAAAGAAGATGTTTTCTAAAACAATTGTTTATCTGCTTAATCATGTGCCATTTCAATTTCTCTCCCGAAAACTTTTGTTAGACCCCTCGTAAATCGTCATTTGCATGCGACATTTTATATCGTCAGCAAGAATTCGTCGTTACAGCAATTACCCGGCGCGTTTCAAACTGAAAGATCGTATTATTGCAGTCCTGTTTATGTAGACCGCATTCCAATGCTAAAATTTGCGATGATTTCTACAGTAAATATAAATGTCGTACCTAGGCAGCTGTTGCGAATTATATAAGTTTGAGTTCTGTGAATCAGTACCTCGTTTTCCTAAATAAGCCGGGTTTCGGAATTTGTTCTCAGATATTGGCGAATTCACGAGGGCAATATTTAGGGATTATGCGGGATTGGAATGTGCGTTATTATTGCATGTTCTCGTATAATCCGGATAAATCGGTTGAAGGGATGGGGTTATCGGAATTCTTGAAGCAGGTCAGCGAGAAAATGATTCAAGTAAATTTTGGGCAATTATGAAGATCGAGGACTTCGATTAATGAGCTGTTCTTGCTCCAGGACGAGGAAGAAGTATATTTAGGTGTCACTTATTAGCCAGCTGTTTTGATAATGACCAATTTTAGATAGGAAATTACTATCGGGTTGACCCGAAAATATGAAGACTATTGTCCCATTTATTTTCCCCCACACTAAATATGATGATGGGGCAGACATTATATTCAGATGGAAATAAAAAAGGATTTAATATTGATACTTCAGGCCTCTTGAACCTTTTGAGACGTAAGTAAATTTCCTTTTTTCTTTTGTTCGAATCATTCTGGCAGATGGCTGGCGAAGAATTCGAGTGAGTGGTAGGATTATGAGAAAGAGGAATTGGATATCGTAGATATTCTTGCTCGATGAGATGAGGAAAGGTATCTTTTTTTCTCAGCCTCACATTTCATGTAGGAAATGTATCAGCTGTTTTTCGGCTCTTGGCTCAGCCTCTATTCTGGAATTGCAGTACTGAGGTACAAACGAAGCTCATTACTGTACTTGAATTATTTCGCGATAAATGAATAAATACCCTCTCATTTTATTATATTCAATACGAAAGCAAGAAGGCTACGTGTACAATTACTGCTTAATGTTTATCTATGATGAATGCTTTGCAAAGGCTATCTTCACGCCAATGCAGTGGTTGTCATACAGTATTTTAAATGTTTTAATTTTTTAAGCCTCTGTTTAATTTTTTTCTTAATTTTTTTATTTTCCAGGGACTGTGGTGGTCGCCATGACAACCTATGTGCGATACAAACAAGTGAAAGACGCTTGCTTTCAGCTCAAGTGTGGGAGAGCGGTGAAGAGTGCGAATTCGTTTTCCTGGGTTTTCTCCTTGTTATTCTGCTTGGGTCTGTTAGCAGTGGCTACTTTCCAAACCACGTCTTTGAGGGCTGTGCATTATGCTGGCGCAGTTACTTTATTCTTGAGCGGAGCGGTGTATTCGGTTCTTCAAGTGAGTTGCTTGTTGAGCGAATAATGGCATCAGTAATTGACAAATTGAATAGTTGCAGAACAAGAAGGAAGAGCTTGTCAAGTATGAAACTTCATTCGTTTATGGATTTGAAAAAATCCAGTCTGTCTCATTGTAATTTCTCCGATTGGCTTGAAATTCGTATTGAATATTTTCCTTACTGTTTTACAAATAATTGATGCTATCACATGAATGCTCTGCCAATAATTCGCGGGAATGACGGTATGACGTTCCTGGATTCTACGTGGGGTCATCGTTCATTCGAAGTATTCGATGCATTTTTCAATTATAGTATAGAATTACGTACCGTATTCGTTACAAGTAGACTCGACAACGATTTTCGTTGTACAGTATTGTAAAATGAATTTTTATTTTGGCCCCATGTGTTGTAGGGGTTCTGTAGAACGATTTTGTCTTGGTCCCTTGAATTTCGTTGCAGAAAGAGTCCACCTGTGCATAATTTTTGGACAGGGTAACATATCCGCCATTACCGTGGAAAATTTGAGCTCTTTACAGTAGTCCGAAGTACTGCTGAGCGGGTTCCCAACCTTTTTGAACCACGGAACCTTTTTTTTTGCATCCCTTTTATGCATGGAGCCTCTCGAGGAAAAATTATCTGCTGGTTTTTCTAGCAGATTTCCGTCTGTTGTCAAGTAGATATGAGAAAATGAGTTCATAATAATGGTTAAAATGATGGATCACATTTTTAATGCCCCTCACAAGTTTAATTGTAAAATTTATTTATTTCTCAAGTTTAATTCAAATTCCCACTTTTATCTTTTTTTCTGTAGAAACTACTGCAAAACCCTGAGGAATCGTCACATAAACTTCTCAAAAAGTCTCGCATAGTTCCTCGATAAAAGCATTAAAAAGGAAATTGGAATTATTTTCAATTAATAAATGGAGGCAGTAATTACCCCGTTTTTGCTCGACTAGAATTTTTCTAGGCGGTGTGCGTCATAGGCTGGTTTGCATTAAAAAAATTTTCAAGTTTTGGTGTGCATTATTTTACTTTATTCTAATGGGAAATCTTGGACCAATTTCAGCAGAAAACTTCAGTTTTGTGGAAACAAAAAAAAATTTAGTTGATTCCGGGCTCAATCAATGTCTACTTTCGAATTCGGGTGTTGTTATTTTCAAAATAAATTTACAGTACTGTATTACAGTTTTAGAGTCACTAAAGCAAAGGTGCGCGTCTTACTTGGGAATACAATTTAATCAGAATTTTAGAATGAAAAACCTTATCTTACCTGCTGAGGGGATGTGGTACTCCAGTAGATGCGGCATACTCGAGTTTTATGCCTAATTGAAGGTATAACGGATATAAAAAATTGCCTCTTTTTTCCTGTGTTCATTTTTTCGCGTGATATATGGTGTGATCACTTGCATGCGCAGGCGTATGTCTCAATGAAGCTGTTCCCGGCGATCACTTCGAAACGGATGAAAATCGTTCGCATCATCTTCGCCGTCTGGGTTGTAGTGGGCTTCCTCTCGTTCATGGTGTTTGGGATCTGGGCGGTGAAGGTGTTCGACGGCGACCCGGAATCCGGAAAGTGGCGGCCGGAAGACGCCGGCTTCACGCAACGTGTCATCTCCGTCATTTCGGAATGGTTCACGGCCTTGGTCATGCTCGCTTTCATCGGGAGTTACGTCGGCGAGTTCCGCCACGTGCACGCGACGGCGCCGTCCGTCTTCTATCGGATAGACCCGGAGCGGATGGCGGTCCAGGACGACGACGTGCTGGACGACGACGACGACGACCTCGAGTCGGACTTTCCGGAAGATACGAGTGTAGAGGCCACCAGCAATAACACGAGAGAGTAGAACAGCGCGGCGAGGACGAGCGACTTGGATGAATCAAGTCCTTTTGGATCCGATTCAGATTCAGTTCTCACCTATTTTCTTGAACTGTTCATTGGATAAAAGGCGACTTCCGTTCTCTGACCAAGATACATTTTGCATGGTTGATAATGTGTTTTTTTTCTTTCTCTGGTAATATGACAAAGTCTGAAAGGTTCGGCATAGGTCCATTATCATTTCTGTTGGGTTAATGACTTGGGTGCTTTTTTCGCCCGGATAATGAAAAAAGTTGAAAATTTCAAGTGTCTATAGGTGAAAAATCGGCCACAAGATTTTTTGTGTAAATACCGTACATTCATATATATATACACAAAGTCGTGTTGAGTTTTATAGAATACTTTGGTGGAACCAGAAAATAACTTTAAATGCAGTATTTGGCGTCTTATTGCATCACATTTGATAATCACGCAAAACAATCAGCTTTTGAAATGAACATTCACATAAACTGACTGAAAATAAATCTATGTACATAAGTTACTGCAAAAGCGGATTGTTCTTCACGGTTATGTGATGCGATTATAGGTTTTTGAAAGCATACTTCAGTTCTTGCAATATTTTTGACAGTGATCGCCATCCAAGGTTTCCATCCTTGCAGATGAGTTTTTGAGGTATCAGGTTTTCATCATATCGCACGTGTGTCTTTTTGTGTGTGTCATTGATGCGTAATATTTTTTCCTTCACAGAAATTAAAGGAAACACCCTTGAAATCCAGTGAAGGTTTCACTTTCCGTGTAAGAAATCGAATTCCGAACACAGAAATATGGTGTTATTCCAGTGAAATTTTATGTGTGTATTTGTATATTTTTACGTCATGGAGTCCGAGGCGAATAGAGTTAATCGCCTGTCCAGTGGTCAAAGTCACGAGAGTGTCTTGTTGAGCCCTGAGAAAATGTCCACGGCGGACAAATTATGGGGGACAGCAATTAGCGGAACGAGTCTTGCCAAATTGCTTGCCAGGTTGAATATCGATTGCCGGCAACTCTCCGATGTGGAAGGTTCTGAGGTAATGAACAATTTTTTTTGGCGAATTGCAGCATTTATTGCTGGCTTCGTGTACGGAATTATGAAAGATGGAAATTATTAAAAATAAAGACCATTTTTATCGTGTTTTTTTTTTTTTTTTACCTAAAATTCTATGCCGCGAATAAAATTTCTTCGAAGTTTAAAATGAGAGATTCTGCTAAAATTTTGCGCGGTTTTTTTTTTCTATAACGACTCAGATCAAATGTCCTTTGGTAGAATCATAGAAACTTCATAATTTTTTAGGAGCACGAAATACGGCATAATCAAGTTTTCAAGAACGATTTTGTCAGCATTTCTCATAACCTTTTATTGCATTTAAAAACGAAGGAGGAAATTGGTAATTCTTCATCCGCCACATACTGATATTCATTTGATTGAAATATTATGTAGATTAAAATACTCCGAGTAGAAGAAAATGGACGATGTTATTTCATATTCTGATGGATTCTCTTCAACAATTTCGTCTGCAACGATTTTTCTTGTGTGCCTCAAAGGTGCTTTCTCTACGACGAAATTTTTCTGGTCCGCTGAATTTATTTTTTGTGGAGACCCCACCTGTATCTCAGCTGTAAATTACTTTCAGGGTTCAAATTTACGAAATGAAAAATCCGTTCTGACATTTGAATGTTTCAATTTTTTCTACGTGAATGCAGCCCGCAGGTGGATCAGGATTCAAAAGACCAACAGCGGTGCTTGACAAGCTCGTGGACATAATTCTGGATCCGAAACCCAGTTCCATCGACTCCGAAGACATCAAGCCCATCATAAAATCCGGAAATAAGCCGGAACACTGGATCCCCGATGCCAGCAAGTGGCAAAAGATGGAACGAAAGGCAGCCAGACTCGCGAGCCTCATCCCGGTTCCGAATAATGAAGAGTTGGAGATCGAAGATGTGAGCATTTGAGATTGTGGTCGCACGCATTCCCGTCATTCCCCCTCCTCACAAATTTTCTTTAGCGTTTTACTTCCCTTTCTTCGTTTAGTTCTCATCCATGAATAATAAACACTGGAATGCTGATATATTTTTTGCTTCTTCTTTCTTGAATAGCTGCTTTCTCTGAAGCTTTGACTTCGCTTGACTAAAGAAGTTATCAGAGAAAGTGGGTCATTTTTATACTGGTACCCCTCACCGGAGGCTCCACAAGTGTTACCATTGTGAGTGTGACGCGATACTGTACTCTAGATGTCGCTGCTGCATCGCGTAAAAAGGCGGTCGAGAAATCAGCCCGCTGGCGAGAAATTTGAAGTGTCGAACCAAAATTGGTTAACTTTCAATCACCCAGAATTTTCAGTCGAAAAAACGGTTCAGTGGAAAACTATGAAGCTACTTTCTATAAAGAGGTCCACAATATCAACATCAAATACTTCGTTTTGAATTTTGGGCTATTGCAATTCGCATTCAAGTTTTTTTGCTGTACAGTATTTTTCAATTGAAAATTTGCTTATATCCGAAGCATATATACATGTTAACTCTACAATTTTCCAATATTTGTATCCTGTAATTAAAAATTAATGAAAAAAACCTGATCGATCCGTAGCACATTTTCAGTGACATGTGATCTTCGTTGATCTTTGTCGTTGACGAAAAATTCAAGGTTTCATGTCAGTGAAATATTCATTTGACGCGATGTGAGCAGTGTGTAGCTCATGTGGAGAATGGTATGACAGTATGAAAATGCTCCTGTGATCCTTATGTCAGTTTCAAAAAGTATTTTTTCTTACAGCAGTATTGTATAACGAATGACGCATTCTTCAGTTGAACGAAGTTCCTCAAAGTCCTGGTAGAATGTGAACGAATTCACTGCCAAAAAACTTGGACGCATCAAAATACTGTTGATGAAAAATACTGCATAATTTTGAAGTGAAATATTTAATATTTAGCCACGAAAATGATCGAACTTTCTCATCTGTATCGTCGTAGCAGTTTAGCTGACTGGAAAGCTGCAGTATAATCATCGTAAACAAAAAGTGATCTAATTTTCTTGCACTGAACACTGAATAAAACTGTAAAAACTGCCTAAGGCTATGAAGAATTCCAAGAATTCAATTTCGAAAATTATTTCATGACGTCGAGTTTTGCTTCAGAAACTTCCTTGCTTCACCAGAAAAACTTTGCTCCAAATAATGTGAAAGTCTCAGGTTTCGAGGAGAAATTCAATTGTTTCGGATCGTGAAAAGGGACACTCTCGAAAAGGTGTGTGTCACTTCAGTAAGCTTCAATATCTTGCGCGCGAACAGATATTTATAATTTAGAAATTATCTTTTTTGCACTGAACATCCATCAAGGAATCTGAAAAACCTGCCTGGCATAACGTTGAAAATTTCCAAGAACTTCATTTCGAAAATTACTCTATTTTATGACAACGATTTTATTGGAGAAACTATATTGCTTCACGAGAAACGCTGCGTTCTAAATCTGAAATCCTCCGGTTTCGAGAAAAAAAATTAAATTGAAATTTTTGGTGCGTTTTGATTTAAAAAAAGGCTATAAATCTCACCGTTAAAATCCGCCGCCATCCTCTCGACCTAAGTAAAATCTCGAAACTACAAATCCAAGTGGACAAGTGAAATATAGTATCTTCGTTGAAAAGAAAAATTCCTTATAAGGTGACATAAGTAACATTGGGACTACAATGATCAGGGACCTGAAAAAAATCGATGATCCGTTGTAACGAGATTCTGCTGAATTTGAAAGCGTCAGCATGATATTAAACGGTATAATGCGTGCGGTCACAATTGGTGTCATATGGTTGAAAGACGTTTTTCTTAGTCTTCGGGGGACGAATGATCCGATTCCCGTCAGCAGGAACCCGTGCCACCAACACGGCCACCAGCACCACCACACGACCCTCTGTCTGTCCTAGACCTGCTGACACCCAGGGAGAAGAAACGGGGCCGTGGGACCGACACCATCGTCGTGCCCGGGACTCATCACCCGCCGCGCCGCAGCCCGAGTGGGTTCCAGGAACCCGTTTCCAGCTCGGACAGAACGTCGCACAATAGTAAAAGGGTCACCATTGCGGAATCCGAGGAGAGGATTGAAGTGCCGCGATTCGAGGTTGAGATGGATGCCGAGAATGAGGATGATGATGATGAGATGGTCGAGGGAGAGGAACAAGAGTTGGATACCCTTGAGGAGGTCGGGTTTTTGTAATATTTTATTTCGATGGATTTTTTCACGTCTGAGAATTGGAATATTGCAGAGGAGAAACTCCGTTGTAAATAATTCTTCGTACTCAGGATAATCTAATTTTTTGGCAAATTTCCAGCGTTCACAACGATAATTATTGGAATTTCTGCATTTTGCCCCGAAATTTTTTTCGTAAAAAGGAGAGAAAAATCCCAAAAATTGCATTCGAAATAAATCAACAGATTAAACCGATAAATTTATCAGAATTGCTTCAAGAAGAAAATCTTATTTTTACCACTTCTTCAGTTTTCTATGATGATTTTTCAATCTGCTTGGAAAATTTATTATGCCTCTAAATATTGAAATTTTTCTCCAAAAAATAAGATTGACAGGAAAATTCCTACATTTTTGAGAACAGTGTCACAATAGCTTCAATAGAATCTCAATACTGTATTGCATAAAAAATTTTGATTCCAAGAAGTTTGCCGAACAAGATTTTATCCTGACCTTTTCGGGTTCTCAATTACAATGGCTAAAAATTGAAGTTTCTTTTAATGGTCTGCTATTCTTAGAAATGAATAAATAGAATTCATAGAAAAAACGAAAGACAAAGAACTCAAAAGAACATCTAGGAATCAGCACTAGATTTCGAAGGCAGAATGATGATATTTCCATCTGCTTGACAAATTTATTATGCCTCTAAATATTGCAATTTGTCACCCTAAAAAAAGATTGACAGCAAAATTCTTACATTTTTGAGAATATTGTTACAATACTTCAATAGAATCTCAAT